GGTAGGAAATTTACAAAATATCTTCATGGAACATGATCTTTACTTAATACTTTTTGGCATAAAAGAAAAATCTATAATTTTGACCCATTCAATGTATTGTTGGCTATTGCTACAAATATACCCGTGCTACTTATGACTGGTTTTGTGGTCCAGGGCCACATATGTGAGTGATAATGTACAGCCAGCAGTCATTACTGTAAAATAAACACCAGCAGGGTGATCGGGTCTTGTTTCACCGTAAAGATTTTCACAGGGTTCTTATTTTTTAATAACATGTGGACGGAAGTTCAATTAAAAATAATAATAAGCTAAAAATAAGGCAACCAAGAATTGTATCTGCGCAAATATGACTCATACTGTACAAAAAAAAACACATTAGCAACAAAACTAAACCTAATATTAACAAAAAAGCACCCAAAATATTTGAAAACAACTAGGCCTAAATTCAATAATCGAGGGAAGGACCAGTGGAGGCCATTATTGAGCGGAAGCAGTAAACATTCAAGCATAGCCTACCGACAAACACAGAGCACAAGATGAACACAATTAATTTCATTATGTCGAAAGACTGCAATAAAACATATCCCCTAAATTCCGAATGGAGATGGGGCATATATGGATGAGTGAACTGTTCCAATGGTTACCAAGAAGAGCTAGCTTCATCAAAGGAACATGGTGAGTATTGATATGAAAATAAAATATAGTTACTAGAATAACTTATAACAGGTGAAAGTGTTGAAGCTGCTTGTTATCCATGTATTGGATTTGGGTCACAGCTTATTAATTAAAAGAGGACTAAAAACAGCTCTGACAAGCGTTGTAGTAGTATCGGTTGGTGTCATGAGTCACCTGACTGCTTAGCTTCACGTGACTGTACTAACTAGACACACATATGTGGCGTGAATATAAACTACTGTTCAATAGTTTGGAGTCGGTACGATTTTTTTATGTTTTGAAAGTTTCTCCTCAAGGCTGCATTTAGGCTATTTAATCAAAAATACAGTAAAACTAAAACTAGGCTGACAATCTGACAAAGTCAGATGAAGGTGAAACTCAGCAACAGCAAGTTCTTCATATCCTCTCCATGTCCATGACTTTGTGGTTGCTTTGACACCACTGGGAACAGGTAAAACATCTACTATGCTATAAAGAAATGTTTGCGTTTTCTAAGTTGCATATAAAAAAAAAAGTATAGAAAACCCAGCTATTTTTCAAAGGCACATTTTGCCCATTGAATGGTGTTATAGTAGTAGCCAAACCTTGACACTTTGCATAGATCAGTAAGAATGTATTTTTAGTATTATCTGTCATGATACATATTAGCCTTCCTACCACAGGAAGAGGCTTGAGCGCTGGGACTTGTTATCAGCCACTCTATTCACCATATTATTCGAAAGATATAGCTCAGATTAAGTAACATTAATTAAGCACATGTAATAGTGGGTTAAATACCATAGGGACAGATAGCAAGAGCTTGTGTTTTGGCAAACATCCACAATGTCATAACGCTGGAGATTGTTGCCACAAGTCATTGTGTTTCTTGGACAAAAAATGAATTATTTAACGTTATTACGAAAATAGAATTCTCATGATACATATTAGCCTTCCTACCACAGGAAGAGGCTTGAGCGCTGGGACTTGTTATCAGCCACTCTATTCACCATATTATTCGAAAGATATAGCTCAGATTAAGTAACATTAATTAAGCACATGTAATAGTGGGTTAAATACCATAGGGACAGATAGCAAGAGCTTGTGTTTTGGTAAACATCCACAATGTCATAATGCTGGAGATTGTTGCCACAAGTCATTGTGTTTCTTGGACAAAAAATGAATTATTTATCGTTATTACGAAAATAGAATTCCAGACACTCCAAGCTTGTGACCATCATGTGGCGCAAATACTTTCCAGAATAAAAAACATCTGCCCTGTGTTTCAGACACTTGCCAAGCTTCACTGCTGGTTAAATATCCATACATTTCCACAAACCTAAAATATTCATTTAAAGAAAAATGTAAGGTAAGCATAACCGCTCTCATCATGGACTCTATGTTCCAGTCACTGCCTATGAGGCTACAATCCACACGGTGAGGAAATAGTACTAGCGGAAACAATACAGATTCTTGTGCACCAAACCCTAGAGGGCCATTCAGAAACAGATTTATATATATTTGAAGCGGAAGAATCCCTTCTATCCCAGTCCTCAGACGCACATTCATAACAAAGAAGTCAGACATGAAAAAAAATGTGTGTGCAAGTGCGATGGGAAGAGACAGGGATGGAGGGAGGGAAAAAGTTGTAGGAATGCTGTTTTTGGTTTTTTATTGACTGAGGGCGGGACATTCAGAAGCACATATAGGGCCCGAACTCAGCAGGAATCCACACGGTGAGGAAATAGTACTAGCGGAAACAATACAGATTCTTGTGCACCAAACCCTAGAGGGCCATTCAGAAACAGATTTATATATATTTGAAGCGGAAGAATCCCTTCTATCCCAGTCCTCAGACGCACATTCATAACAAAGAAGTCAGACATGAAAAAAAATGTGTGTGCAAGTGCGATGGAAGAGACAGGGATGGAGGGAGGGAAAAAGTTGTAGGAATGCTGTTTTGGTTTTTTATTGACTGAGGGCGGGACATTCAGAAGCACATATAGGGCCCGAACTCAGCAGGACAAGTAGTACAGGAACACTTATGCAGTAGCGGCAGTCTGCCCTTCATCATCATCATCACAATTAAAACACCCTTTAATCATCATTTTTAAACTATCCTAAGACGTTATGGGAAGACAGAAGGTGATCCTGGAAAAGATGGCTCGGATCTTTCAGGTTCGGAATGTGCTGATACGACAGGCACTGGCAGAATGCCTGGGCACTCTCATTCTAGTGGTGAGACAGTTCTGTTGTTTTTGTCATCGATGAGTTAGTGATGAGACAAACCGATTTCAGCTATGATGAAAATACCATGCAGTCAGATTTAGTTTAGTTTATTCATTTTGAACTAAGGGAATGTTTCTGAACAATTCAGAGTAGGGATTACAAGGTGTTACCATCCGGAATTTGCAGCACATTTCTGTTTATAGAGAAATTTTCTAAAATTTTCTTTTTAAATTTTCTGTAACTTAAGTATATACAGTAGGCTATTCCATGTTTAAAAAATCAGAAATGTCAGTTTAGTTCATTAGTTTGTTAAAAAATAATAGTAGTACATTGATTGCACTTAGCTTGATATATGGATGAAAAATAACTAATGATGCAAAGATTGATTTGCTGTCAATCTTTGATGAAAATGTGGAATGGATGCATGCATACAAGATATCAAACATAACCTAGATGCTTTCATCTGCTGAAAAGGCTACATTTCCATTCAGCTACACCTAAGGGATGTTGTTTCCCCTTATTTTGCAAATGATTTGCTTATTGAGGTATTTTATGAAAAGTATATATTTTACTTTATACTTACACTTTGCATCTATACTTTATTATTTTATAATGTTTCCCACTTTTAATAAGAACATGTTTTTCTCAGCTGTTGCTAATAATAGCTATTAAAACATGGAATTAAATGAATGTTCAAAGCTAAAATAAGTTACGTTTGTAACTTAATTTGAAGCAAAATGTCTCCTTTGCTGAACACACTGTTAGATGACATAATTGGACTTGAAATCGAGTTGACTTCTGCTGAGTAGCTGCTTTACTCAAGTTTCTGACACTGTAGAGTGGGCCATTTCATATTTTGGGTATATTTTTCAGTGAAATGAAGACACTGGAACTGTGTTCATGTAACTAACATACTTTATCACTGAAACTGTATAAACACAAGCAAACAGCCTCTAAACAATAAGAATTCTAATGTAATATTAATTGGTCAACCAGGATGGTCACAACAAGGATGAACACAAATAATAACTAGTGATAGAAAATATTGTTTTGTTAGTATCAGACGCCTCCGATTATAGCTGTTAATTTGTTGCTCCTCTGCTAAACCTCAAGAGAAAAGATCTTGCTACCAAGACTAATTTTCACTTCAACAGAACACTACAAACATTACTAGAAGATGTCTTTGAATTAATGAAATATTCCGTGTCATAACACATCTTGTATTGGTGTACTTTTGACAATTTGTAGTCTAAAGTAGCTTATACAACGCAATTAGCAGGTAAGCACAAACAACAGGCACTGCCCTAGTGAAAAAAAAATATGCTAAGTATACTTGCAGCCACGCTCACACATCAGATGTACTTGTGTGTGGAAACTAACCTCAAAGTAAAAGAGGTAAGGTTTTTACTACATCAGACTGTAAATCTCCTGTATTAAACCTGTACTACTTGTTTTGTTAGTATATTTGCAATGTACTATTAAAACAGGTAATATATTACAAATACAATAAAGTATACTTTTTTTCACTAGGGTGGGCACAACAGGGTCTATAATCCAGAATTCAAGACACCCCATATCCGGAATAAATTTGACACACCACAGGGGGATCACAGGTTAAACCATATCTCATCATCTGCTTTCAATGGAAACTAAGACTCCAGAGCAGCAATATCTGGAGAAAAATAGAGCTTCACCAATGCCCATCCGTTGTTTTCTGATGGTACTGTGCGGTCTGCGAACCCCCCATCCAGAAGCTGATCGTGTGGCTCAATAACGGCTAGCAAACACAGACAGGCTAGAGGGCATCGCACAATGGGAGAGAGAGCAAGTACACACACACAGTCATTCACACACTATCTATCAAATCCACATGGTGCCCATAACGTTTCACATTCTTCAAATGCAGTCCTCAAACAAAAAACAGCTACATGAAGCCAAGGATGTCTAGCTCTGACAATCATAATACGTCAAACTAAACCCCACAATCATTCAATGAGATTTATTTGATGAAAATGCCAGTTATTTAATCTAGAGCTAGTCTCAGAGTTAAGCAGTTGGTTAATTGGGTTTTTATTCATAATTTCTCTATTTCTAGATGTTTGGATGTGGTGCTGTCGCCCAGTTGATTCTAAGCGGAGGCTCTCATGGAATGTTTCTGACGGTGAATTTCGCTTTTGGGTTCGCTGCTACATTGGGAATCCTAGTTTGTGGGCAAGTCTCAGGTAACTCTGATCATAAGCTTCTTAAAACTGTCATTTTTTTTCTTTTCTTGGGAGAACACAGGAAATTTCAGATTTCAGATGTGGCATTTCACTTCAGTGAGTCACATACAGATCAGAACCAGATATTAAAACGTTTGCCCAAACATTCACCAGATGGGTTTAAACTGGTCAAATTACACTACATTCTTTCCTACTTTTAGAACATTTTATTTTCAGTTATTATTGGCTGGAATTTAGGGTTGCCTCATGGTTAAAGTTGATCCACTCGATGGATGTACTGTACCTGAAGGCTTTTGAAGAAAAAGCACATCAGACAACATCAAATGGCAGTTTTGACTTTAACATTTAAAACAGGAATACTGCAAATAAATGAGAGTTTGGGCTATAAGTAACGTCTTGGACAAGAAGGAAGTGGCAGGCGATTGAAAAACAACGTTTCCAGACATAGCTAATCCATGGCTAAAAAGGTTATGAAAAAGTTTAAGTTGAAATTTTTTGAAGTTTAATCCTGGTTTAGACTTAATCAGCATGTACCGAACCAGCCCAAAAAGTGTAAACTGAATGTTTATGGTATATACTTTCATTTTAATTGTGTTCTGTGAAGATCTCGTTTCAAATGCACCATTCAACATATTAAGAAATAAGCATGTGTTTTACAGGAGGTCACATAAACCCTACTGTGACCTTTTCCCTTTGTTTGTTGGGGAGAGAACCCTGGAGGAAATTTCCCGTGTACTTCCTGGCCCAGACTCTGGGGGCTTTTCTTGGCTCAGGAATAATATTTGGCATGTATATTGGTAAGTTTTAGGACTTCATTTTGGTTGTCAATAATCCACATTTTTCTCAGTCCACATCCTGGGTCAGTCTGTTGAAGCCAAAAATTAAACTCAGTTTATGAGAACTGTGGTTGTGAACTGGGAGCTTTTGAAGATCTAAAAGAGCGTTTCCCCACTTTATGTTCACTTGATGTTTTGCAGATGCAATTTGGGACTATGGACAAGGTTCTCTAGTTGTTGTAGGGGACAATGCAACGGCTGGAATCTTTGCTACATACCCTTCTAAACACCTTACTTTGCTCAATGGCTTCTTTGATCAGGTAAGACAACAAAATTTAGCATTCACTGAAGATATTTTTAAGAATGTCCCAGTGTTGTTTGTCCATACAATGAAAGTGTTGTTTTGGACCCCATTGACTTTCATTGTTATGGACAAAAACTGTTGAAACGCCTTCAAAATATCAACGTTTTAGAACAATATGAGGGTGAGTCATTATTGGGTGAACTAACCAATATTTTTCACAGATGACTGGCACGGCAGCTCTCATAGTTTGTATCCTCGCCATTGTCGACCCTTACAATAACCCCATTCCACAAGGACTGGAGGCCTTTACTGTGGGCTTTGTAGTTCTAGTGATTGGTCAGTCCATGGGTTTTAACTCAGGTTATGCTGTAAATCCAGCCAGAGACTTGAGACCTCGGATCTTCACCGCAATTGCTGGATGGGGCTCAGAGGTGTTCTCGTAAGTCACATTTGCTTTACTATATGTATTTTTTCCATCCATTTCACTATTGATTCCATCTCTAACATCAGTTTGTGTTCCATCTACCACAGAGCAAACTCTTACTGGTCCTTTGTACCCATCTTTGCCCCATTCATTGGTGCCATGTTCGGTGTGATGGTGTATCAGCTGATGGTGGGATGCCATGTGGAAGGAGAAGCAAGAGATAAAAGTAAAACAGAGGAAAAAGAAGAGAAGGAAAGATTCAAACTCTCTGCTGTTTCTGAGAAGGAGACAGCATAAGTCTGGGATCAAATGGAGTTGTTTTTCCACAGTTCCGTTCAGCTTCTAAAATTTAATTTAGCTCTCATGACAATATAGTAGCAATATTGTGTATCTTGTACCCACATTAAATCAAAACTTTTGACAGTTACCCTTGACATTGTGATTAGACTCAAACTAATTAGTTGTATTTTTTGTAGTGTGTTTGCAATTAGTTGATGTCCAAACAATGTAATTGATTAATCTTAATTTGCATATCACTTTAATTATCCTGACCAGAACCTCTGTGTTTTATACATAAACTTACTAGTTATCCTTTCAATTTATTCCAAAAAATGCCCAATCATAGCCAAATTAATTCATCCAATCTGCTAACAAGTCAGTTGTTGTCACCCGTTCATTTATCTCTAATAGTTCTATCTGCATAATGAATAATTATGAATAAGGGATATGATTTATGAAAACCTTCACCCTTATGAATACCGCATCAAAGTCATAAAAGTACCTGTTCCACTAATATTCCATCATTATTATAAGTAAATAGTAATGAGTGCTGTAATTATGCAGTGAGAAATCCAGTTCTATTTACATTGTTATGTCGCTTTTTGCCTTTTTGGGAACATATTTGTTGTCCAAGTATATGTTTTGATGTAATACATGCCTGTTTCTGTTCTGGTTTACACTGTTCAGAGTTTACACTGACTATGCATATAACATATTGTGTTAATTTATACTGTTCTCTTTAAAAATAAACTGCATTTTTGGTAAGGCATTAGGATTCTAATGGATCTGTAGTATTTTTAATATATGAGAAACATCATGCACAAAATTTATTTTTGAAATGATCTGGTCGTTTAACTGCAGGGAATGCCTTTGATGTCCATTCATGTACTTGCTCAGTATATATTAGCATCATTCAGTCCAGTAAAACGTCAGGATTTCCAAAGGAGAATCATGTTTCCTTTTGATATTAACATTGCAGATTAATGCAAATATGTGTATAGATGTACACAAATTCATCTGTGCAAAGTTTGCAGTCAAATTTTGGAACAAATCAAGAAGTGTCTGTCCACAAATAGGCGTATACCAAACCTCTGTTCTGTTTTCTTCGGTCTGCAGTAAGAACTGAGTGGGCAGGTTAAGTGAATTGTCACAAACCGCTGCTTGGATTCATGGCAATAAACAATATGAGTAAAACAAAAGAGCTGTAATTTAGTTTAAAACTGCAGCCACGATTTATACTTGCTTGAAATCACACTGTCAACAAACAAACTTTATACAGACCCAGACTTACTGGCATTACAGAGCATAAAACTATATATACTATATATAATTTCTTGATGAAAATTGAATGAAATATTTTTAAGCCTGCAGAGGAGGGATCTGCCATATCCCTAAATTATATTTAACAAAAAATTGTTTAAAACAATCTAAGCATTCAATACGAGTTTTGCAAGTGTTTTTGATATTAGTCAACCTCATTGGTGTAAACTGTAGTGGGTGTTGCAATCTAATAAAAGGCCTATACATTCTCAGGTATATCACATAAAAGAATGCAAATTGTAAAATCTTATATGCATTGATCACAACTCACTCTCATGTAAATCTTCCAAATGGAAAGGAAAGATTGCAGTGCCTGTTTAGCTCAGTGAAGGGGAAAATAGAAAATGAAAATAAGAGATGTTTATTGGCATGAGATGGATGGAGATAACCCAGACCATGAATCTTAAATCAATGAGCACGCACAGAGTCAGTTCGTAGGTTTGTAGAAAATGAATGCAGACGTTAAGAAGAATGTTTGTGGAATTGAGTTTGGGAATTTGGAATGAGATTTGAGGCAAGCTAATCGAGGCTTTTGAAACCATTAAACCAATTTTTTATGTCGTCTTTGGATTTCTGGGTTCGGAACAGCAATAAAGCTGCATCCACAAGTGTACAAAATTCTTGAGGGTTTTTATGTGTCAAAGCACAACTTAAAATGCATGTCATTTTTCCACATACCACATATACATTTCACCACACGTCCTAAATGGGGCTTTAGAATGTCCACAGTATATGAGAATTTAATAAATATGACTTTGTTTACAGACTAAAATTCATCAGTCATTTTTTTATCACTCTATTATAGTCTGTATATCAAAACACATGAAATCTCTGACTATTATCTTTCTTGAGTTCGAATGAGGTTCCCATGACAACTGTTATTCCTGTTGATTGTATTACTCGTCCACGTCAAGTACACTACACAAGAGTCAGTGTCATGAAAGGAAACCGATACGAAATTGCTTGTTATGCCCTCAAGCCAGAAATGGAAAATGACTGACAGTACAAACTAAAACATCTAGATCTGCGCTTGATTAAAATAGAACAGTGTTTGTTTGGTGATGCTACCTTAGTATGTAGCTACTGTTTATTATTTTTTGTCATTAAAATAAAGGGAGGTTGTCTAATATGAGCTTAGTCAATATTGTAAATTTTTTTAGTTTTTTTGAAGAACACTAAAGCTTTGGGAATCATATTACTCCTGGTTCTTGGCTCATTTTTAATCGGACAAGACCAGTTTGTTCAGTCTTTGACAGATCTTTGGTTTCAAGTGAAACACATTATCAAAAAAATTAAAAAATTAAAAAATTGGGCAGGGCTTTGATTCTATCTATTGGTTGTTGATTGGAAGGAGGCAGATCTGAATGAGAGCTTGCAGTCTATTGTCAAAAAGTTTTAAATAGTTTTTCTTTTCGGTTTCCTCTCAGTCACACGAATACAGTGAGCGATTAGGTGATGTCATTAACAGTTGGATAATTACTTTTATTTAAACTCTTGGCTTCAATAGCTCAAGTAACTTATCCTTATATATTAAAGCATACAAGTACAAAAGTCCAAAGGCTTATGGAACGTCATTTGTCTTATAACTACTAACATCAACCAACACTATACCAGCACTTATTGTTTCATTTTGTTTATGTAGGCTATACTGTGTTAACTTTAGGCCTATAAGATCCTATCTTGTACTGAAACCAAGTCTCAAATGTATGCTTTTTCTTTTTTAGATTTATTTTTGGTGTTTTTGACTTTTATTAGGATATGACAGTATTGTAGACAAGAAGAGAAGTGGGAGCGAGGAGGGACGGGATCACGCTATACGTATATAAGCGTTTTTTGTTTTTTTTTTACATTTATTACTTTTTTTTTTCTTTTTTTTTTAGACACGCCCCTGTTGTGTATCAAAGAAATGTTATGAAGGAACGCTGACTGCAATTACACACACAACGATAATTTGAGGTGTAAAATCTAGGAACATTCTGATCATATTAGGAAAAAATCACTGTTTCGCACAGTGCACACACAGTGTTTCAGAAAGTCCTGGGCTTGACTAACAATTTTATGTCATTCACTTAAGCAATCAGGAAACTAGCTACTTGTGGGTGCTTAGCTCTGACGATAGTGAAAAAAATCAGAGAAATTGAAACCACAATTTTTAAATATATATTACAGTTTAATCCATATTGTAAATCCTTCACAACCAGGGTTTAAATTGGGCCGGGGCCGTCCGGGGCTGAGGCCCGGCACATAGACTGTATAATATGCATCTATTGCTGAGGCGAGGCTCACACAGCCTCTCTAAAGAAATCTAAACGCGCAAAACTAAGAAACTCAGCATCCTGAGGTAAAAATTCAAAATGGAAAGTTTTTATATTTAAAATGCAGTTAGTTAGGCAACATCATACAACGTTTTCACCATTACGACTGTTTAATAGTTCTATAAACAGTTCAATAAGCAAATACAATAATATTAGGTCACTTACATTTTAGGCGGAAACAGCACATCTCACAGCAACCAGCCGATTCATTGCTGATTGATTCCGTGTTTTGAACGAATCGGTTGAATCAAAGTTTCATTAGCCCAGGCATAAACATCTGATGAATCTGCCTTTGAACGAATCGTTTGAATGAACGACTCAATGACTCACTCATTAAACACTAATGGCACTGGTGTTTTAATTTCGTTGAAAAGTATCATTTCCACCTCCATTAGTTCACAACCACCATTAGTCAGAATCATTCCTATTCTTTCACCACAAACTGTGCTAGAAAAAAATAATCTCTCTCACAGATTTGAACTAAATGTCGGTGGTGACATAAATTGTCGATGAGAAACTGCTTTCCTGGTCCCCACCCACTGCTCAAACTTCAGAGAGGTGCTTGACATTTGGAATTCCTAAACGACATGGCCTTTCAGCGACGTGGATTCCCAAACAGATCTAATGTCAATCAAACACCCAGCATCCCAGACCCCCAACCATGGCATTCTGAAAGGGTATATGCCTACTGAGGAGGCATGGCTGTAGCCTGACAATAAGGCACACATTAAAAAATAATTACTAATCAATCCCTCTATGTAAACCAATTCATGCTGAAATGTGACCTGTAATGCAGTGACTACCTGTAGTGCAGGGGATACATCAATTTTGATTTTGCTTTGTTAAACACAGCATATAAATTAAAATGTATTGCTTTAAAATCCACAGTTGTGATTAACTAGATGATTTTCAGTTCCTATTAGGAAACATAATGCGAGGAGTTTACCCAAAAATGAACATTCTGTTACCATTTGTTCATCATCATGTCATTATAAACCCAAATGACTCCAGTTTGTATGGTCTAAATGATTCGTTCGTGAATGAATGATCCGGGTATAGCAGTAACAGTCCACTGAAGTGGAGCATTTTTAGTCAATAATGTGGTCTGTTGGTCACACAAAGCTATCATGTGAATTTTGAAGAATTGAAATATAGCCCAAAAGTCCCATTTACTTTTATAGCACTTTCATCCTTCAGTTCCCATTAAAGGAACACATTTTTTACATTTAGGAAACTTTTTTTCTGCAAAGAGGACAGTGATCTGTAAAAGAAATCTATGTGAAAATTCATAAATATGTATGATGAGGCAAATGGGGGTCACATGTCAGTCAATGCCAAAGTGATGGTGTTCGAGCAAAATCTAAGAACTTCAAAAATAAATAACAATATACATAAATAAAAGTATTTGTATGTCATGAAGCCACACACATTGAATCCAGAGAGAGGCCTTGAATCTCTTTTGGAGTTAAAGAGCTGATAAAGCTAAACAAAATTTAAATATAAAAATTTTATATATTGTAATTTTGTATTTACCAAGACATTTAAGAGACATTATAAAGGAGAGAGACAGTCCTAGCTGCTTATCTTTTTGTTTTCCTTGAGCACAAAGTGACACTATGAGGTCAAAGAGTGAACAACTAAAATGAGTCAAATACCCTAGTAAAACTTTCATGATTCATTTTTAATTTATTATTTTTTAATTCATTTTGGTAAACAAAAATTAAATAAAAGAATAAAAGCTTATATAAAAGTATATACATTATAAATATGAATAATAAATGATTGCATAAATGTTTTTACAGAGATTTTTCATATTTTAGAAAAAAATAATAAAATAATTTGTATTCTGTTATTGCTATGCCAACCTTGGTTCACACTATTCTGTCTTTAACCACCTGTTCTGGGGTGACATGGGGTCTCTGTTTCCTCACCACAGGCCTAAACTGTGGTTGATGAGTCAGTGTTTTGAGGTTGAGAGACTTAATGAAACTCTCTTTTTTTTCAGCTCTTAAGGGAATTAAGAGCTTGGCAAGCAATGGAAGCAATTATGCCCTTAGAGAATGAGAGGTTTGCTTTCTTTGAGCTTCCTTTGTTTATGTGTGGGGTTTTGATGAAGTCAGACTTTCTCTGGGTCTTGTGAATAATCTTTTTGAGACCCTCGGTCTTCATTCCTCTTGCCAAAAGCCTTCATGTTCTG